GGGGGGGGGGGGGGGGAGAGAGAGAGGCTGATAAACGGAAATGAAAGCAACGATACTGAGCCGTGACAAGGCTGCCAACGATGTTGCGCCCTTCATGCGCCGTGGTGTTTAATGGCTGGATCGCGTAGATGTGGACAGCGGAGATGCGACCCCAGTGTAGAGTGGGTAGCAGGGCGAATCTACCTCCTTTTTCGCGCCTATCTCTCTGGTTAGTGTATCAATTTGATGTGAGCATGCCTCACCGTTTCTCCTCAGCCAAGGAGCAGTGACAGCGAGGAAGTGACTTTTTTTTTTCTTCCTTTTTGTGTTTTCTTCTTTTTTCGCTTTTCTGCTGTTTCTCCTTTTGTTTAACCCTTTGATGATGCACTTGTTACCTCATTTTTTTTTGTCGGTGTTGTTGTTTTCCTCTTCCCCACCGCTGCCGTCGCTGTCCATCCGCACGATGTGGCGGCATTCCCCTGCGCCCTTCCGTCTCTCCTGCTCGATTCTTCTTTTTTTTTTTTTTTNTTTTTTTTTTTTTTAGTTTTTGCGTTGCATGTGTGCGTCTTGATTGTTTTTCTTTTCTTTTGTGTGTGCTCCTCTTTGTAGTGGGGTGCTCCTCATATTACCATTCTCACTCCGGTGCGTGCTTGGGCGAGCTTTCCCAAGAAAGAGAGAGAGAGAGAGACTAGAGCATCGGTGGCGCGATGGACTTCGACGACTCGTCTAGCTCCGATGGCGAAGAGGTGGTGGCACGCTCGTACGCGTCGATTGGTGGCGGATACGGCTCAGTGCCGCTGCTCTCAAGAGAAAGAACGGAAGGAGCGGCAGAGGCGAGAGACGCGACACACGCTGTGGGAGCGGACTCGGATGACGAGACTTATGGTGCTGCTGTTGCTGATGCCACTGGTACGGTAGTGGGTGGTTCACGTACTGTGCAGTCGCTCGTCTTTGATAGCGAGGATGTTGACAACAATGACGATAGGGCGGTTGATGTGGTTGCAAATCCCCAGCAAAGGGCGACACACACGCAATGTGACGAGTGCCTGCATCACCATCTTGTTGCTGCGGCGGAGGACGTCGAGCGGCCGCCGCCACGTCGAGGGGATGCTGCGCTGGCAAGCAGCGGACGCCTTGGTCAACATGTAGTAGATAGCGACGATAGTGAGAAAATCAATGGGGCTGCTGTGGAGACGGAACGACAACTATTTGAGAGTCGGGGCGATGAATGTGATGAGGATCCTGCGCAGACGACCAGGTACGGTGTATCTGTTGAGAGGGCTGAGGAATGGGATAGTGTTGTTGGGGCAATGCTGGTGGTTGACAAGACGCTGGTGAGCAGTTTTCATTTGGGTTACAACCGAAGTTTTTCGCGCGAAGACGACGAATTAGAGGAGTCGGACTATGAAACTGAGGCGATGGTAAAAGTACTTTCACCATTCGGTGTGTTGCCGGTGAACGAATCGCAAAGTGTGAGTGAGGTGACCGAGGAGGAAGAGAAGAAGCGCCTTGCGATGTTTGACACATTGCAACATCTGGCGTCACACATACGCGTGATGCAGGAGTCTCTCAAAGAAAAGGGAATGACGTCTGAAGGTCAACTGTACCAGCAGGAGCAAGAATATAATTCGGCCGCTGAGAGAAGCAATGACAGTGTTGGCATGCTGGAGCTAGTGTGCCGTGGGTTTCATTCAGTGCATGTTGACTCCGCGTGCCGTTTGATTGCTGTGGTTGACAACGACCCATGTAGTGTGAGTCTGGCCGATGTGATTGCTTTTAGCAGTCACCCGTTCGCACAAGCGGAGCTCGTAGCACTGCTCAAATCTGTTGTGATGAAGGTGGGTGCTCTGCATGACGCCGGCTTTGTTCATGGCTGCCTGCATAGCGGTAACATACTCTGCGGTACTGATAATGGTCACGTCGTGTTGACAGGTCTCAGTAACGTCATGTGCAACCTACTTCTGCCTGCGGAACCCTCATTTATTTCCCCACGACTCGCCGCAGCGATGCGCCCGCTGGTGGAAGTCGTGTGGAGCCATGCGGAGGAAGTAAGCGCTGATGTCTTTCCATGGGCGGCGGATCCTGCATTCCATCGCGTTCTGCTGGAGTTGTATGGTTGCACAGGAGAATCGGATTTGCGGCCACGGATGCGTGATGATGTGTACGCAATTGGTATCCTGGCTTTGACATGTCTTCTCGGAGTACCTCCTTTTCTTTCCGCCACACTAAAGGAGGTTGTGGATGCACTTGCCCCGCATCAGAACGACAGCAGCATTGCTTCGTTGTTGGGAGCTGTGTTCAACAGCAGCTACGCCATTCGACGGTTCAAGTGTGCCAACTATAAGGAGGAGTTCATTGAGACGGTGCGGGATTTTGTGGATGCGTGTCTGCGCGCTGGATCATGTGAAGCTGTCGTATCGGCGGAGGTGGCTGGCGACTTGCTGCAGCACGCCTTCTTCGCGGGTCTCACCAATGGTGTAGGGCTTAATGGCATCAGTAGAGCAGGAGCCGCCGCCACCGACGACGAGCAGAATGAAGACGACGCAGATGACGAAGGACAACTACACAGCTTGGTGCGATTGAATCGTTCTGTTCACTATCTTGCGTACCCCATCTTTGCGGTGGTGAACGCCGCGATGCAGAAGTGTGGCACCAGCCCATTGATGCACCGGATATACCGCAACTCCATCTACGCCGCCCGCTGGGATAGCCTCCAGTGCGGTGCTGTGCCCACCACGAACAGCAACGATGACGACAACCACCACTTTGAAGACGGTGTGATTGGTGTTCAATGGCCGTGTTTAGAGAGGCAGCTGCCACGTTGGGGGAGCAGCTTCTGCTGTCCGCAAGGCGAGGAATCCTGGAGAGCTCCTTTGTACCGCGTAACTTTTGCCACATTCCAGCCATCTTTAGACATTGACAGTAACAATACGGCAGCGTTGGAGGCCGTCGCGGAATCGAGAGGCATGCAGGTTGACTACTCAACGCATGCATTGTCGTACAGCGGCAAGTCCAATACACGACTGACGTTGCACGCCCATGTGATGCCCAATGGGTATAGAACATTAGTCAACACTCTTATTCTGCGTGACCTGCAGGATTGTGTGGTGGAGGTCCTTGTGGGGTTTCGCTTTGTGATTTTGTTTAACGTAAAGCGCTGCAAGGTGTTGCTTGGACCATGCTACTGCTGTTACTGTGAGGAAGTAACTGACTGTAGCCCCATTTGTGTTGCAAGTACACACCTTCTCATTGATAATGTTTTTTCTGTGGACTTCCACCACGGTGGGTACACGGCACCGCGCTGCCAATATGGCCAGTCACGATGGGGCAACGTTACAGTTGCACCGTACAGTGCTGTCTACCCTGGTATGAGCGCTGACTTTGCAGCATTCTCTATACCACAGGAACACTCAGCTACCATTGCGCGTATGGTTGACGGCTCGGATGGTTCAGTGGGGGTCATGCGGACACTGAAGCTGTGTGGTACCCTCTCTGGTGGTTGCGACTACCCTTACTCCCACGCACTGGCGGCGTTTGGCAGCCGCTTTATTCATGAGAATGACTGCAAAAGTGATGTGTTCTTCTTTTTTTCGGAGCTGTCGGGGAAAAGCGTTCGCATTGCGCAGATTCACGGCGGGGCGGAGAGGGTGGAGGGTGGCTCCTATGCAAATGACTCCCTTTCTTACGGTGCCACTACCACTACAGAAGTGACACCTCAAACGGTGATATTGCCTCAATTTGAGAGCGGTAGAAATGTGTCACATATTGTAACTCATACAGAAGGCGTCAGTGCGAGCTATCCCATTATTTTTATCATGGATGTTGTTGGTGATTGCATCATTGAAGACTGTACAAACTGCACCATTTTTGTGATGGGATCCACCGAGAGCGTTGTTGTGCGACGGTGCTCACATATGAGATTATTCTTTATGGCAAGGGAAGGTGTCTTTGAGTCATGTCAAATGATGGAGGCTTACCTGCTGGTGACGGAGATACTGCTGCTAGAACGTTGTTACAACATTGAGTTCTTTCCACTTTCGGTGGAGGCGCCGCGGGTGGAGGAAGTCCTCACTGCCATTACGGATCGCACCACGGACGATGTACTGCGACGTGTCTTGGAGAATGCACGAATCGGAAAAGATATCCGTGTCTTGAATGCGTTGCTACGCTACGAGAGTGACACCAACGCCATTGATGTGCATAGGTGTGACTGTGTGAATATCAACGATGACAGCACAACGATGATTCTGGTGGACTTTGTGCCCACTGACTCCCCGCTCTCAACATTCTTCTACGAGGCGTACATTGAAACACGCCGAGAGGAAGATTGGTCAGTTGTGCCATTTATGCAGCAAGTGTGGGGTAGAGGAGATGCGGACAACTCACTTCGCAGACTCCCTCTACCGCCTATCCGACTGCATGATCTCGTTAATGTACCTATTCTTCGCCTCCCTGGCTCCCTTAATCTGCGTGCTGCTGCTGATGGTGGTACCTCGGAACTTGTCGAGGTGGTACTGGAGCGTATCGCCATGGGTGTTGTGCACCTAGCTGAGGCCGTGGCTACGTTACGCATCAGCAAGTGCACCGGTCCACTTGACATTGCTGTGTGTGCTGCGAATCGTGTGATAATGGAGTCATGTGAAAATGTAAATTTGCAGATAGCTTGTGGCACTTTTACTGCAACGAAATGCCGCAACTGTCATGTCGCACTGCACGTGAACACACCGCCGCGCTATGAGGCCTGTAGCGACATGAAGTCTTCTACACTCAACATCACATCAGAAGGCTATGAGGAAGCCTTGGAGCGAGCAGGTGTTCGGCTTGACGTAAACCTGTTCAACGAGCCACTGTTGTTGCTGTCACCACCGACACAGCAAGGCTTGACAGAAGATTCACCTTGTGTTGGCGTGGTACCGGACGTTGAGAGTATAGATTCAATTGATAAAGCACTCTCAATACTGCACACTCCCCTTATATTTGTGCCTCCGCTTTTTGGCACATGCCTCGGCGTGAAGGATGCACCCTTCCTCGGTCCCCTTGAGGACCGGGTCCACCATGAAGAGGCTACACGAGTCCCATTCGACACTAGCATATGGGAGGCTCTTTCGTTCCTGCTGCACCGGCAGGTGAGGGATAGAACTGTGAGGGAAATAGGACCTGGGTATATGATGGATGAGGAACATCACCTCGTTCATTCCTCTTCTTCGGACTCCGGCATGGAGACACCAGAACGAGTGGCAGAGCGGCACGTCGACCCGTATCTTGAGTGCAATGGTGACGTGCCCAAGCGGTCTCTTGCTGCAGAGGAATCGCTTCGCTTCTCCATCCCTCCCTCCTGCTCCTCCTCGCAAGAAGCGGAAGAGGCAGTCCACTCATCGCCGCCTTGCTCCAGTGGCGGTAGCAACAACAGCAGCAGCAGCAGCAGCAGCAGCAGGGATATTCGTAGTACTGGGTCTTGCGACGGCCCTGGCGGCGATGCCAACGTTGAAGACACCGACGATCCCGTGACGGTACGAGTGAGGAGACAGAGCGACGAGAGAACCACAAGCGTGGAACAGAGGTGCCCTACCGAGGCAAGGCGACTCAGCTGTGGAGTGTTCTCGCAGCCGGAGACGATGTCAGTGGGGCAATCGAGCGCCGGTGAGGAGAGGGCCATGGACCTCGTCACATACCGCTCCATTCCCGGCGAGGAGTCCGCCCTTGACGAGCCGACGAGCGCAACGGATCGTGCCGCGCTCGGTGTGCAGGAGGTGGACGATGACACAGAGGGGCAATCCCAGAAGACATTTCCTATTTCCCATGTAAGCGAGACATCTGCAGCGCGTGTAGACGAGGCAGCGCCAGCGAGTAACAAAGAAAACTCTGTTGCTTCTGCTGCAGTGAAATCGCAGGATCAACCGAGTGATGCGGGGGTTCCCCTTGCGAACCTCATCGTTGCCGTTCATCCCGAGGAGGAAGAAGAGGTGCAGTCCGTCATGCATATGCTGGACGCCAGGCGTGAGGCGCGGTTGTCTGCGCAGCGTGCAGGTGGTTGTTCCATCGAAGACATCAAGCGTCGCGTGGAGAACGCCGTCAGGCGAATTCAAGGCCTCTCCAAGTGACAACGTGTACTTGTGCCTATGTGAAGAGGCTGTCTTTCTTGTGCTGGTACATGTGCATACAACTGGCATGGTTTCGTTCTTCATTACTCTTACTTATGCAGCTGTGTAAGAAAGGGGAAGAGGAGACGACTTGCATTTATGCAGTCGCCATTTATTATTTCTTTTGTCTTTCTGGTTTGCGAGAGCGAGGGAGTGGCATGATTGTTGTGCATTTTGTGATGATGTTGCTACTGCCACTGTTAGCATTTCGTTGGCTGTTAGAGGATCGAATTCCTCCCCAGATATTTCTGGGGAGCCTCAGCGCAGTGCGGTGGTGTTGTTGGTGCTATGGAACCAGCTTCTCTGCCTCGATAGATGGTGACGTGTGCAATGTGGAGAGAAATTGGGGAAGTGGGGGTGAGTGGACAAACATATAGAGAAAGAGAGTGGGAGCGCCAGGCATAAATGTAAGAGGGTACTACACTCCATGACTGTTTTTTTTTTCTCCTGCTGTTGTGTTAGTGATAGGGGCCAGCCCTTTGTGTTATTTCGTTGTTTGTGTCTGCTTCTCACGCACACCCCACTCACTCTCCTCTTGGCATGCGTTCCAACTC